CCAGTGAAGGAACACTAGTATATTTCCTAATCGGAATGCTGAGTGGCTCTGAGGGGCACTTGGAGGGTGGTTTCCCATGTATCTTCTGCCTTTGTCATTCTAGCTGGATGCATTTAGAACATGCTGTCAAAGGATCTTTAGCAAATTTCTGCAATGCATTTTGTAGATTGTATACACAGCTGTTACTGAGCATTGGTGGTGGAGGGAATGGATGCTTGTGGATGATTCCAATCAAGCAGGCTTCTTTGTCCTGGATGGTGTCAAGTTTGAGTGGTGTTGGAGCTGAATCCATCCAGGCAAATGGAGAGTATTCTATCACACTGTTGACTTGTACTTTATAGCTTGTGGATATGCTTAGGGGAGTCCGGAGATGAGTTACTCACTGCAGTATTTCTAGCCTCTGACCTGCTTATATAGTGTGTGTGTGTGTGTGTGTGTGAGAGAGCGAGGAAAGAGTCCAGTTGCATTTCTTGTCAATGGTATTCCATAAGCTGTTGATAGTCATAGGTTGTTCAGTGATGGTAACATCATTGAATAACAAGGAATGTGGTTTGCTTGTCACGTTTGCAATGGTCATTGCCTGAATTTTGTGTGCTGCAAATGTTATTTGGAAGAAGCTTCATTGGACTCCATACTCTAGTGGCTACTTGGTTAAGTGGTGCAGCACTTGGCATAAAGACCATCTACAGCAAAGAAGTTTGGTAGTGAAAGGGAATGATGTCAGAAATGGGAATGGCGTTTGCATAGTCTATCCTTTATTCTGAATCATTTTAGTTGGATTGTTGGACTGTACTTGCACACATTTCAGCCTATAGATGTTTGTCATGCTAAATATAGGGAGATTTAAATAAGATACAAACAAGCAGTTTTCACTAGCTGAAATACTAAATTGAATTATCTTGGAATTAATGAATCATTTAAGATGAGTACTGAATTTGCGTCATAAATCTGTGAAATTGAAATATTTTGGAATGAATAATTTTTCATTCATTCTTCCATGCCCTAAATAAAGTATTCATATCCATAAATTTTCAACAATGAAAGCTGTCATTGATATTTTTTTAAAAAAAACTCTCAAATCCTCTCAGGGCTTCCACTCCTACTTGATTTTGAAAAGTGAGATAATCATGGATTGTTAATTATTAATCAGTGTGGGGCTCAGCAAGTTTGCTCAATTTACTCTTTAAGCTTGAACTGGACTTTCATTGTCAAATTCATGTTGAAACAAACTAAATGCTTTTAAAACTGTAGAGCAAGTGATGAATAGTTAATGTATAATTTAATTTTGGTCTTGGGTTAGAGTAGAGGAATGTTTTGCATTGTCTTTTGGTCCTTCCTATAGAATTCATTCCCCATCAAATGGCAACTCTGGGACTGAACCAGTCCACTTGTAACCTGTGTATCAAGTTTATTCTTGCACTGAAATATTCCAACTGCGTTTGTGTCATGAATGAGTCCATCTTGTTTTCCACTTTTGTAACATTACGCACTTTAGCTAATGAAACTTCATTTTTTTTTGGGTTGCTGGACTTTTTTTTTAAAAAAAGAGTCGAATAAGGTAATTGCAGGAAGGATGTTCCCAGTGGCCAAGGTGTCCAGAATTAGGGTCGCAGTTTAAGGATACAGGGTAGACCATTTAGGACTGAGATGAGAAGAAATTTCTTCGTCTATAGTGTGGTCAGCCTGTGGAATTTTCTGCCACAGAAAGCAGTTGAGGCCATAACGTTGAATGTTTTCAGAAAAGTATTAGGTATAGTTCTTGGGGTTAAATGGATCAAAGGGTAAGGGGAGAAAATGGGGACAGTGGATGATCAGCCATGATGATACTGAACAGCAGAGCAGACTCCAAGGGCTGAATGACCTACTCTTATTTGTTTCTCTGTAATTGATGCATGATGTATAGGGGAAAAGTCTCTTTCTTTTGAGTAAATAAAAGTCTTTAAGGCAAATAGAATTGGAGGATAAGGTGGACTAGAGAGAGTGTCACGTTGCTAATGTCCTGTAAGGAAGGAGATCTGCCATGCTTACCTGGCCTGGTTTGTATTTGACTTCAGACTCTCGGCAAAGTGGTTGACTCTTAGCAGGTCTCTGAAATGGACTAGCAGGCTACTCAGGCATTCGAGCAATTAAGGTTGGGAAACAAAAATTTAAAAGGTTTTTTGTAAATTGTTTCAGTAGGACAAAATTTGGTTGAAAAGATCGGCTACGTAATAAACTGTTGAAGTTTTATTTTCTGTAAAAGGGTTTAATGACAAAGTTAAACTATTAGGCATCTGTATTATCATGTACAGTCTTAAAAACTTAAAACTGGCTGGCTAGGAAGTCTCTAGATCCCTTTCTTGGTGGTGGATGCGTTGTGGCAAACTTACTTGAAGTGACAGAGTCATAGAGCATGTGAACAGACCCTTCGGTCCGATATGCTGACCAGATATCCTAAACTGATCTAGTCCCATTTGCCAGCATTTGGTTCCTATCCCTCTAAACCTTTCCTATTTGTGTACTTGCCCATCCAGATGTGTTTTAAATGTTGTAACTGTACTGGTCTCCACCACTTCCTCTGGCATCTCATTCCATACACTACCACCCTCTGCATGAAAAAGTTGTCCCTCAGATCCGTTTTAAATCTCTTCCCCTCTCTCCTTAAACCTGTGCCATCTAGTTTTGGACTCACCTACCCTGGGAGGCCTGCATACACCTCATGATTTTATAAAACCTCTGTAAGGTCATCCCTCAGCCTCCTACACTCCAGAGGAAATAGCCCCAACGTATTCAATCTATCTCTATGGCTCAAATGGTCCAATCCTAGCAATATCTTTGTAAGTCTTTTCCGAGCCCTTTCAAGTTTAACAACGTTTGGTTTAGCAGGGAGACTAGAATTGAATGCAGTATTCTAAAAGTGGCCTCACCAATGTCCTGCACAGCTGCAACATGATCTCCCAACTCATATACTCGATGCGCTGACCAATGAAGGCAAGCATGCCAAATGCCACCTTCACCACGCTGTCTACCTGTGACCTCACTTGCAAAAAACTGTGCACCTGCACCCCAAGGTATCTTGGTTTGACGACACTCGCCAGGGCCCTACCATTAACTATACAAGTCCTGCCATGATTTGCCTTCCCAAAATGCAACACCTCATATTTAACAAAATTAAACTCCATCTGGGATAACCACCTTCACTGTCTCCTACGCCCCCAACTTTGATGTCATCTGCAAACTTACTCTCAAAACCTCCTATATTCACATCCAAATCATTTATACAAATGACAAAAAGCAGTGGACACAGTACCGATCATTACGGCATGCCCCTAGTCATAGGCCTCCAGTCTGAAAAACAGCCCCAATTCTTGAGAACACTGTGCAATATCAATATGCCAAAAAAGTGTTCTGTTGCCAAATGTAGGAATACTAATTTTGATTAGTGTAAACTTTTATTTTAAATTTTAAATCTTTAGCAAGGTTTCGATTTTTATTTTAGCAACCTAGAAAATGTTTCTGTTCTGTACAGTAGCCTCCTCTAACAGACAATTGCATGTACCAGTGATGTTTAAATGCCAGTAGCATTACTTGTATCCATCCTGCGGTTGTGGGACTTGGTTCTCACTGTTTGCTGCACTGGGTGACCTGCTGAGTGTGTTGTGTAATGTTTTCCCTCAGTTGGCTGCACTTGCCTTTTGAAAACAAAAGTGAATCCAATTAATTACATTGTGCAGTTCTTTTCAGTATTAAAAAGATTATTGCCCAAAATGGTATTGTTTACAAGGGAGAATGGATAAAACCTATTCATTATTAGCATCCAAAGTGGTGTGAGAACTGGTATATTTTTTCTGCAACTGCAGATTGAAGATAATCAGGTGCCTTGTTTGATCACTCACTTGCAGCAGTTTTATGTCTTTATTCAGCTTGTTGGTAGTGGGAATGAAGGTTATCCTTGAATTGATCTCTCTAGAATATCTGTAATTGGGAGAAACCTCTCATTTGGTTTCAACAGTAGTTGAATCAAACATGTCAAGATATCTAAAATATGATACCTTCAATCCTCTGACTTTGATTTCAGATCATAAACGTGCTAAGATTACTAAATGCTATTTCATTTTGATCAACTGAAATATGTACTTCTGAGAATAACAGCATGCAAAGAGAATTTAAATCTCTTTTCTGCATAAGCTTAAAAAGGTCTTTTTATCCTAGTTCGTGCCGTTTCTGAATCTGCCCGTCTTAAACACTCTTATTGAAGATATACTGGCAATGTTAAATTGGCCAAATAGGGATGCCAAATTTTTTTGGACAGCTTATTAATGCAGCTAATATTTTGCCAGTTACATTTCACTGTAGTGGGTCCAGGTGCATTCCTAAAGTCATGGTATTTCAAAGGCCTTTTGAGATGGTAACAATAGATTGGTTATTTCACTGTCATTCATTTTAAAATTTACGTACCTGTGGTAAGCACTGGATGCTGACTATGAAAGACAATTCCTTATTGTGTAACCTGGTATGCAGAATTAATAACACTAATTTTTGTGGTAAATTGTGCTACAAACACCATTTCTTTAAGTTTGTGACATCCCTATTACAAGGTTGGGCACTACAGTATAATTTCTGTACAACATGCATCAATTGGAACAAAATGGCACAAATGGCACCTTTGAATTTTTTCTTTAAATTGAAGATTATCCAAAAGAGATGACAAAATATACCTGATCACCTATCTACCTCAACCAATATTTATTAATAAATGCAGCATATGACATGCTTGTGCCACTAGCACTTTGTCATTGCCTACTGATTGAGCAGTTCTAACCATTTTACTTTTTCTTTTTAGCTTTTTAAAAAAAAATTTTAAGTTGGAGAGTTGTATTTTAAGGTAAATGATAGGGCGTAGGCAATGAGAAATTTCTTTGTATTGCTGTTACTAAATATTCTGGTAAATAGCCACAGATTGTATTTCTGTTCTAGTCTCTTAAGTTTTAACAAATATCCTTTTGTCACCTGACTATCAGGGAAGCGTGGTTGAGGCTGGCCCTGACCTGTTATCATGACACCAACATCCTAGGTGGGGGCTGTACAGGAAGCTGCTGTTGGAGTTATATGGTAAGACAATTTCTGTGCCAAGTTTTTCCCAAACTACTTAATATGTTTTGGCATCTCATCTGGAAACTGACCTGGGAATTAGTGCCTGATTAACACAGACAGCATTTCAAATATTAAAAAAGTCAGTCATCTTAAAAATAATGTGACTTAGTTTTCTCTGGAACACTAGACTATTTAATTGAAGGAAGTTTACTTCACTGAATAATGTAGGAAAATTTATTCTAAATATTGATGTCTATTGATTTGGATCCCTATTAAACAGAGTTTTGGAACAAGATTTGGACTGCATGTGTGAACTGTATTTCCGCGTGTGAAATACTTTTGATTATGGATGGATTTTGTGCGTCTCTTTCTCAAGATCAGTATTTGTGGTCCAGTATTGAGGAATGGTGAAATTGAATGTTAATTCAAAAAAACTGAACACCAAATTCAGAATTGGTTATGGACCATCTGACTGAATGGAAGACCGAAATATATTGTAGATGGCTATCATCCTGTCCTGTTAATTTCTTTGCAAGTATTACTAAATGTTCAATGAATACACCTAGAGATCTGATGAGATTGAAGATATTAAAAAAATTTGTTTGTATTATGTCTGAGATTTATTAAGTAATCATATATTTGGTTAATATACTGTGCAGAGTTTGGTGAAAACTAGTAACATGTTTACATAGTTCTTCCCAAAGGACATTAAAAAAATCTTGATCCGATTGCTAGAGATTTGCAGATAAAACATCAAATTATTTTCTATCTGTATCTTTGTGCCCAAACATGGTTTGGCTGAAATTTCTCATGTTCTGGGTAGTTTTTGAGGATACATTTTGATGTCTTTGAAATTGATTCTTGAGTAAAACTGAACTGCTTTTTAAGTGAATAGATTTGCCACCTCCACTATCTAATAATTGCTGATAATCGTAACTTGGCTTCATTTGCGTAACCTACGTTCATAAAACATAGACAATATGTAAACTTGGAAAAAAGAAACAAAGTTTAAACTGAGATTTGTTAATTAATTTTTTTAAAGAATCTAGATTTGTCAGTTTTGATTTTCTTTCTGCATTCCTAAAAGAAATCCAACGAATTGAGCAAATGTATTTGCGAAGTGAGGAAAAATTCCATTTGTATCAAGATATTCAATATTATTTTCCCTATAAGTTGGACAGGACATTCAACAATTATAATGCATTATTGTTGACCATTGATGGTTTTCTGTTGTGTATGGTCTGCAAGAAAATATTTGTAAGATAAAGGATGTTTCTGGCAGTCTTTTGGGATGGGTAATTGGGAAAACTCAGGAAATTATCCAAACCTGGCTTAGGAGAGAACACATTTAACATACTTGCAAACAAAAGCCCCACAATAATTCTGACTTTTACTAAAATTTACACATCCAAATCGTCAATTTCAAAGCAAGTGCCAATTCTGAAAATTTAGTTTCTGACTGGCCACTACAGAATATTTATCATCTAACTTTGAAATACAGTTCTTAAGAAAAAAAGCTGCGTTATAAAATCGATTGGATCTGCTTACCTAATATGCGTTGTGTTACTGTCTTTGATTTTGAACTCTTAAAGCCAAGTTCCAATTAAGTGACCATTTCCATTCCAGATTATTGCAGCACAAAACATGTTTTGTCTTTTTTAAAAACCTAATCCATAATTTTATACTTGCATGTAGAGATTGTATATACTGATCAGTGGTATACAAAATGTACCTTACATTTATGGTGTGATTAGATTGACTTAGGACGTACATCTCCTCTGTTGCATATTCAGTGACACACCATTATCCTAAAATCCAGCACTCAGAGTTGAACAGGCATGTTCTTCCCAGAATCGACATTGCTATAAAGAGATGTGAGAGTGAGCTTTTCTGTCTTTTGCTTTGTTTTCCAGTTCGTTGGCTCCATGTTGAAAATGAGAGGTATAAGAATCTTGAATCTTCCATTAAAGTGTTTCGTGAAAGTCACATCGTGATTTGCCTGTATTTGATTTACTAAATTGTGTATTTTGTAAGGTCGGCTTAGTATGTGATGCATTCAGATAAATTGTATCTGATTCAATATGGAGCCACAATAATGAAGGAGCAAGTCCTTCTGAGCAGAATTTCCTGGTTTGTCAAAAACAAAGCTGGACATTTTGATTAATAGTCATTGTGGCATTTCTGGGTAAATGGCATGGATTGCAGGGATATAGTTGTGGGTTACAATTAGTATTCTTGTTTTGTTTAACATGTATAAATGTGAAACATAGAATGCCACTGAGGTGAGGATTATTTGTGTATCGTTGCTGCACTTGGAAGTTAAAACAGGCTGCAGCGAATGCGCCTTTGCATTGGCACTTCGCAAGCAAAAAAATCTTGTATTACATAAGGTATGCAGCAGGCCATGCGTGTCATATACAGAGTTGGTCTATAATTTTGCACGCATTCCTTTTTCTAAGTTGAACAATTATCTTTTAAAATATAGAAATTCTAATTCTTCTACTTCCAACTATAAGACACACATTTAGATCCTATAACTTCATGAAGTGATCATGAAGCAGCAATGATTGTATTGATATTAAATGAAAAGAGATATATACCTGCAGAGTCAGCTAATAGGTCATTTTTGATCAGGAACTAGCGAGAATTAATGGTGTGCCGAGTCAGGCTTGCATTTGCTTTCTTGGAGCTGCATTACCAGTAAGATCAGGCCTTACTTTGGAGCTTCATTGCTTTGATGTCACTATGTTTGAAGCAGTATGGCCAAGATTTACAAATGAATTAGTTCTGTTCAATGCAGAATAATGTTCTCCTGAAATTGAAGAAAGCCAAAAGTGAGAACTTGATTATGGAACAAATATTAATTTGAATTGATGTTGAACAAGGAGGTTTCAACAAAAAAAAGAAGTTTTAATTGGAGAGCAAGCACTTTTGTGCAGTTTTGTAAACTTCATTGGAAGGACATATAACAAGCAAGTATGCCAAAAGATGTAATGGACCGAGTAACTCAATGAGCAGCAGTGCTTCGATCTCCACCTTTTTACCGTGCAGGTGTGTTTCTATTTTGTTGTAATCTATATAGTGTTCATGAAAATGTCTTCTGATTTGAAGATTTTCACCAAATAAACTGTCAAAATTTAAGACTTGATCAGTATTTGACTTCTCTATTTAGATCTACATGTTGAAGAATACCTCTCTATAAGAAAAGTCATTTATCTTATAATGGCAAGCTCTGAATGCTCACATTCGAAACCACAAGTTGAATTATTGCTTTTGAAAACAAACATTTTCTAAGATTTGGAGCAGAAGCTGAAAATCTCTAGGTTCCACTTTTTTGTACTACTCAAATGTGTGTACAGCACAATTGAATAAATCCCATAGAACCAACTGCTTTATTTCTAGTAAATCTTCCTAATCTGTAACTGACTACTTGCAACCATATTCTGTTATGCTTTAAAGTTATATTTTTGCACAATTCGTCAGGTTTTGTTATAATAAACTAGTTATATCTGGCAGGTTTAAGCAGATTCTGCATTACCTACTGTTGCCATAGAGTGGACACAGTTCTTTGGAGCTTAGTGGGTAAGTTTACACCTGGTTACCTTTTATGAATGTAGAGTAATAACTTACATAAATTGTCGACAATTGTAACATTGTATCTTGCACTCTTCTGTTACCCTGATGCACTTGTATATAACAGTCTGCCTCTAAAGCACATAAGACAATACTTTTCACTGTACCTTGGTACACGTGACAGTAATAAATCAAACATTTAGGGAATGTGCTCCTTTTGTGATCAGTAAACTTTAATAAATAATAAATTTAATTCACTTTTCCCTCCCCCCATTGAAGATGAATACTTTATATGACCTGATACCTAATCTAAGTAGTCATTCTTAATTTACGTGTGTAGGTAATGTTGACAAAGGACATCACTCTCTGGTGGAGTACAAAGTCCAAGTTTTGCTCCTGTTGACACACTTAGGGTATCCACTGAAGTTTCCAGACAATTAGCCAGCTCACTGTTTATCTTTTGCGTGTTCATCATGATGGTATCCCCATCATCACTCTGACAAATCTGCACACTCAGAGCAGAAAAAATGTCAGTCAGATCTGGGAATTTTCTTTCTGTATTAACAAGTATAACTCCATGCAATAAATTTGCTTACATCAGAGAGTCTACAAATCATTCATTTGAAATTAATGACCTTTAAAAATTGGTTGTTTGCTTTATGGACACGTTGGATTATGTTGCAGTTATATTAACAAAAGTGTACTGTTTATCTTTTACAGCACCAAGCAAGGTGACTAGGTCATTACGTGAGCGTTGTTTGCCACTGCCGTAGATGTAAGTACGTATTGAACCTGTTGCCTGTTTAGAAATTCTCAACTACCTGAATGATGCTTTTGGCTGTGGAGTCCTGAAGTTATTTTCACTCCCCTCTTTGCTGTTTTAGTTAGATTTGACATTTTAATCTCACATTGCATGTTAGCATGAACAGAAGATTTGGCTATCTAACAGCAATCTGACTCCTTTTCTAGTTGGCAAGATGTAACCAGTGGGTGCACTACAGGGATCGATGGTGGGGCCTCAACTTTTCATAATTTAGATAAATTATTCTGTTGAAGGGACCAAAAATATAACTCTCTTAAATTTCCTGACACCACAAAATAAATAGGAAAGTAAGTTGTGAAGAGGACATATGGATGCATAGGGGTATGGACAGGTTAAATGAGTGGGCAAAGATCTGGCAAATGGAGTATAATGAAGGAAATGTGAAAAAAGTCAATTTTCGACAAGAATAAAAAAGGATAAGGACGTGCAAGTCAGAAACTGGAATTGGGCTATTTAGCCCCTCAAAAGGTTCCACTACACAATTAGATCGTGACTGATCTGATTGTAACTTCAAATCCATATTCCACTAATGCCTGATAATCTTACAACCCCTTGCTTAACAAGAAGCTACCCCTGCCTTAAAAAATTCAAGGGCTTTGCTTCTATCACCTTTTCAGGAAGAGTTCCAAAGACTCATGACCCTCGGGGTGGGGTGGGGGGGGGGTGCGGAAAACAAAACTAATTCCTGATTTTTAAACAGTGGGACCTCGGCTCTATGTTCTCCCGTAAGAAGGGGCATCCTTTCCACATGTACCTTTTCAGGTCCGCTCAGGATTTTATATATTTCAATTAAGTTGCTACTTACTCTTCTAAACTCTAGCAAATAGAAGCCTAGCCTGAACAACCTTTCTTCATAAGACAACTCACCCATCCCAGAAAGTAGTATAGTAAACCTTCTCTAAATTGCTCCCCACACATTTACATCTTTCCTTAAGTAAGATGAATAATACCCCAGGTGTAGTCTCACCAGTGCCCTTTATAACTGAAGCATAATATTATTATTGTAGTCCATTCCCCTTGCAATAAATGATAAATATTTTGTTAGCTTTACTAATTATTTGCATACTAACCTTACGAGATTCATGCAAGAGGACACCCAGATCCGTCTGCATTTCTAATCTCTGCAGTCTCTCAATCTAGATAATAACGTTTATCAAAATCATATGCAAGAAGAATAAAAAAATGAAGCATTTTACTTAAATGGCAAGAGATGCAGCAAGTAACTAGAAAAGCTGTTAGAATGTTAATGTTCATTGTGATGGGGATTTAATTCAAAAATAGGGAGATTATGCTTCAGTTATTCAGGACATTGGTGGGACCACGTATGGAGTATTGTGCACAGTATAGGTCACTTTATTTAAGGAAGGCTGTAAATTCAGTCTAGAGTACAGAGTTCAGTTCAAGCAGTTCAGAAAAGCTTTACTAAACTATTACCTGTCCCGCAGGCCCGACCAGTCCCCCTCCACTGACACCCTCATCCGCTTAGCCGAACTCGTCCTCACACTCAACAACTTCTCTTTCAATTCCTCCCACTTCCTACAGACAAAGGGGGTAGCCATGGGTACCCGCATGGCCCCAAGCTACGCCTGCCTCTTTGTAGGTTACGTGGAACAATCCCTCTTCCGTACCTACACCGGCCCTAAACCCCACCTCTTCCTCCGTTACATTGATGACTGTATCGGCGCCACCTCGTGCTCCCACGAGGAGCTCGAACAGTTCATACACTTCACTAACACCTTCCACCCCAACCTTAAATTTACCTGGACCATCTCTAACACCTCTCTCCCCTTCCTGGACCTCTCTGTCTCCATATCGGGCAACCACCTAGAAACCGATATTCATTTCAAGCCCACCGACTCCCACAGCTACCTAGAATACTCCTCCTCCCACCCACCTTCCTGCAAAAATGCTATCCCCTATTCCCAATTCCTTCGCCTCCGCCGCATCTGCTCCCAGGATGAGGCATTCCACTCCCGTACATCTCAGTTGTCCTCGTTTTTCAAGGACCGTAACTTCCCCTCCTCGGTGGTCGAGAACGCCCTCAACCGTGTCTCCCACATCTCCCGCACCTCATCCCTCACACCCCGTCCACGCAATAAAAACCAAAAAAGAATCCCCCTCGTCCTCACGTACCACCCCACCAACCTCCGGATCCAACGCATCATCCTCCGACACTTCCGCCATCTGCAATCCGACCCCACCACCAAAGACATCTTTCCCTCCCCACCCTTATCTGCTTTCCGGAGGGACAACTCTCTCCGTGACTCCCTTGTCCGCTCCACACTCCCCTCCAGCTCCACCACACCCGGCACTTTTCCCTGCAACCGCAGGAAGTGCTACACCTGCCCCCATACCTCCTCCCTCACCCCCATCCCAGGCCCCAAGAAGACTTTCCACATCAAGCAGATGTTCACCTGCACATCTGCCAATGTGGTATACTGCATCCGCTGTACCCGGTGTGGCTTCCTCTACATTGAGGAAACCAAGCGGAGGCTCGGGGACCGCTTTGCAGAACACCTATGCTCGGTTCGCAATAAACAACTGCACCTCCCAGTCGCGAACCATTTCAACTCCCCTTCCCATTCCTCAGACGACATGTCCATCCTGGGCCTCCTGCAGTGCCACAACGATGCCACCCGAAGGTTGCAGGAACAGCAACTCATATTCCGCTTGGGAACCCTGCAGCCCAATGGTATCAATGTTGATTTCACAAGTTTCAAAATCTCCCCTCCCCCTACCGCATCCCAAAACCAGTCCAGCTCGTCCCTGCCTCCCTAACCTGTTCTTCCTCCCACCTATTCCCTCCTCCCACCTCAAGCCGCACCCCCATCTCCTACCGACCAACCTCATCCCGCCCCCTTGACCTGTCCGTCCTCCCTGGACTGACCTATCCCCTTCCTAACTCCCTACCTACACTCACCTTTACTGGCTCCATCCCTGCCTCTTCGACCTGTTTGTTTCCTCTCCACCTATCCTCTCCTCTATTTCTCTTCTATCCGCCTCCCACTCTCTCCCTATTTATTTTGGAACTCCCTTCCCCTCCCCCTTTTCTGATGAAGGGTCTAGGCCCGAAACGTCAGCCTCTCTGCTCCTATGATGCTGCTTGGCCTGCTGTGTTCATCCAGCCCTGCACCTTGTTGTCTCGGATTCTCCAGCATCTGCAGTTCCTACTATCTCTAAAATATCGACTGTCTTGATAAGAGAGCAAAGTGACAAATGATATTTAATCCTTAGAAATGTATTGTAAAAGGTTAACAAGACAAGGAAATAGGCCTGAAACGTCAGTCTTCCTGTTCGTCTGATGGTGCTTGGCCTGCTGTGTTCATCCAGCTCCACACCTTGTTATCTCAGATTCTCCAGCATCGGCAGTTCCTACTATCTCTGAAGGAAATATAATACCCTTGAGAAGGTGGTGGTAAGTTGCCTTCTTGAACTGCTGCAGTCCACCTGCTGGGGGTTGACTCACAATGCCGTTAGGCAGGGAACTGCAGGAGTTTGACCAAGTGAAAAATGAATTAACAGCAATATATTTCCAAGTCAGGATGGTGAGTGGCTTGGACGGAAACTTTAAGGTGGTGGTGTTCCCATGTATCTACTGCCCTTGTCCTTCGAGATGGAAGTGGTCGTGGAAGGTACTGTTGAGAATCTTTAGTGAATTTCTGCAGTTCATCTTGTATATGATACACACTGCTGCTACTGAGAGTTTATGACAGAGGGAGTGGATGCTAGTGGCTGTAGTGCCAATCCAACAGGCTGTTTTGTCCTGGATGGTGACAAGTTTCTTGAGTGTTGTTGGAGTTGCACTCATCCAGGCAAGTGGAGAATATTCCATCAGACTCCTGACTTGTACGTTGTAGTTGGTAGACAGGCTTTGAGGAGTCAGGTGGTGAGTTTGGGTGGCACTGTGGATCAGTGGTTAGCACTGCTGTCTCACAGCGCCAGGGGCCTGGTTTCAATTCCCCCTCAGGCGACTGTCAGTGGGAGTTTGCACCTTCTCCCCGTGTCTGCATGGGTTTCCTCCGGGTGCTCTGGTTTCCTCCCACAGTCCAAAGATGTGCAAACTAGGTGGATTGGCTATGCTAAATTTTAGGGATGTGTAGATTAGGTGGGTTTGGGGAATGGCACTGGGTAGGAGGCTCTGAGGGTCGGTGCGGACTTGTTGGGCCGAAGGGCCTGTTTCCACACAGTAGGGATACTATACTATACTATGGATTATTTGCCGCAGCATTCCTAATATATTATAAATAATGGGACACAAATGTTTAGAGAGACAGTGTACTAGGTGTGTATATCCACAGATGTCTGAAGGTGGTTATGAAACCATGTGATATTTCCCTTTATTATATGAGGTATAGAATATAAAATTAGGAAGCACTACACAAAATAATTGTTAGATCACAACTACATCATTGCATACAGTTCTTGTCAATCCATTACAAGGAGAATGAAATTATACTGGAGAGAATAGATGTTTATTAGAATGTTGCCAGAATTGGAAAAGCTAGGGTTGTTTTAATTGAAATGGAGGGACTGAAGGTAGATTTAATTAAGATGTTGAAAATCACAAAGCAGCGGGACTGATAGAATTGAGGGTTATGGTGAGCAGGTGGGTAAGTGGAGCTGAAACAATGAAAAGATCAGCCATGATCTTATTATATGGTGGAGCAGCCTTCTTGACAGACCAGAAGGCCTATTCCTGCTCCTATTTCTTATGTTCTTACCTGGTCTGACCTACACGTGACTCCAGACCCACAGCAATGTGGTTGTCTCTTAACTGCCTTCTGGGCAATTAGGGATAAGCAATAAATGCTGGCCTAGGTCGTGACATCTATATCTTCTAAATGAAAACAGTTTCAAAAAAAAAAACCTGCCTATTTCTTCCTTTTCTTCTCCGCAATCTGCACTACTGCCACACCCCACCCAGCACATCTCTATATCCCTAACCCATCTCCACACTTCCTCAACCACCCTCCAATTCACTGATATACAGACAGTTTCAGAAGACAGTACTCGTTCAGTTCAGGCACCAGACAGCATCCTCCTCTCCATCTCCCCCCAGTCAGGACGCCATCTTCCCCCCAGTCAGGATGCCCTCTCTCCTCCATCTCCCCTAGTCAGGATGCCCTCGCCCCTCCATCTCCCCCAGTCAGGAGTCCTACAGCATGGAGACAGACTCTTTGGCCCAGACTTGTCCATGCTGACCCAAATGTCCATCTATGCTAACCTTATTTCCCTGCACTTGGCCCTTATCCTTCTAAAGCTTTCCTATCCATGTATTTGTCCAAACGCCTTTTAAAAGTTAATGTACCTGCCTCAACTACTTCCACTGGCAGCATATTCCACCCTCTGTGTAAAAAGTTGCCCCTCAGGTTCCCATTTATTCTTTCCGCCTTACCTTAAACTGATGCCCTCTAGTCCTCGATTCCCCAGCCCTGGGAAAAAGATTGAGTGCATTCACCCTATCCATGCATGTCATGATCTTTTACACTGCTATAAGATCCCCTCCCCTCAGCCACTTACGCTCTAAAGAAAAACATCCCAGCTTGTCCAAACCCTCCCTATAACTCAGTCGAAATTTCTTCTGCACTCTTTCCAGTTTAATAACATCCTTCCTATAACAAGGTGACCAAAACTGAACACAATACCAAGTGCAGCCTCATGAATGTCATGTACAACTACAATATAACTTCCCAATTTCTATACTCAATGCCTACTGCTCCGTCTGCGACTCCACTTTCAGAGAACCTTACACCTGAACTCCAAGGTCCCTCTGTTCTACTGCACTCCTTAAGGCCCTACCATTCACCATGAAACTCCTACCTTGGTTTGACTTCCCAAAATGCAACACCTCACACTTATCTATATTAAACTCCATTTGCCATTTATCAGCCACTTCCCCAGCTGACCAAGATGCTGCTACAATTTCTGATAACCTTCCCCACTGTCCATGATATCACCTATTTTAGTATCATCCTCAAACTTACTAATCATGCCTTGTATGTTATCATTTCCTCCCAGCCACTTCATATACCCAATCCTCCTTCACCGACTTCCTCCTAACACGGCCTCCTATTGGACAGCGCCCCTCCCCTTCACTCACACACCCCCTGCCGAACCTTTCCTGTTGGGATTTGCGATTGGCCAGCCGGTTGCCCGGGGTGACGGTGGGCGGGGCCCGGGCCGTGCGGCCGCGGCCGGGAAACCCCGTGCGGCGCCGGGAGCGGGATCCATGAGGCGGCCGCGGCCATTTTAGCGAGATCTACCAGAGCGAGGGAGGAGAGGGCGAGGGAAATAAATAAATAAATATATCGTTAAAACATCAATCCGTCGGAGCGCGGGAAGGGGGTGGCGGAGCTGAATCGAACCGAACCGCATCGCACCGGCAGCCCCGAGAATAAGGTAAGGGGGTAAGCCGGGTGTGCTCGGCGGCGGGAAGGAGTGTGTTTGTAAAGCCGGGGCCGCGGGTTGAAGCAGAAGCCCGCGGAGTCTCACTGTGCCCCGCTAGGCCGCAGCCCCGGCACTTTGTCCCTTCTCCCCTTCCTCGCCGGGGGAGGGGTGGTCTCTGTAGGAGCGCCCGAGCGTTTGATTTTATTTCCTTGATGAGGTGAGAAAAGAGGGAGTTAAACCCCGCGGGTTTTATTGCGATTCGCCAGTGATTCTCGACGCCCGTCCGGCCCGCGGCATTTTCGGAGCTGGGCTTCGGGAGAGGGGGAGGGGAGAGGACGGGGTTTTGGAGGTGGGGGTGGTGGTTTCTGTTGTTGAGAAGCGCAAAATGAAAGGCCTCAGCTCCTCTCTCCAATTCCCACTCCAGCCTCCCGTTTTATTCCCTCTTCGTTTAGGTTACCTTAAAATTTTCTTGGTCCCGCCGCGATCCTGTCTGCTTTTATTTTCACTCTCGCCACCCAGGCTTTTGTTCTTTTGTTGTAATTTTAAATGTATGCATGGCCCCGGCGGTTCGGGGTTATATTCACTTCGCCTATTTATTTCGCTCTCGTCAAGGCGCCTGGTCTTTCTAACTCAAGACAAACGACGCTTTCTTTTTTTTAAAAAAAAATGCCACACGGGATCAGATTTGACAGCATCACGCAAATGTTATTTTTAATATTTTTTCCACAGTTGCAAACGCAGGAGTGCCCAAGTATTAAGTTTCATGGACATTTTCTGCGCATCTCTCTTCCCCACCTCCCCTTTTAGCAGAGAATAGTTCAGTTTTCAACGTGCTTGTTGTATATTTCCATTTTTAAAAATTTGTTTTTATCTATTACAGTTTTTCTTTGCTCGATTACTGTTGATGCAACATGTGGCCCGGCCATTGTTGTGCCGCGTTGACGCATGGCCGAGCTGAACATTTTAGTACACGTGGATTAACTAGTTTTGCTTCGTGATAAGAGCGAGTGGCTTCTTGGTCATAGATGTGTCAGGAGACTTGTAGCATGAATGGAACCTTTGTGTCCTAAAGCTTTTGCTGTCTGTGCAGGTTATGAGTTGACTACTGTGCTTTAAAGTTCAAATGTATCCCCCCCCCCCCTTTTGAAATATATAAAAATTACTTGCTTTGAACGTGGTTTCCATCGATCTAGGGTACAAGATAGAGGACTTGGGTAAGGGTAGAACAATGGGCTTTCCATAATGATTGGAATTTCTAATTTGTGTTGGAATTTTTTTTGATAGATCGTGTACTTGCTGTGTTTCAGTTAGTTTAGGCAGTGGATGAATCTCCTCAAGGGTTTATGTTGATATGTATGTGATACTACCTACAAGTTTGTTTGAAGCTTGCAATTTTTAAATGGAACCTCTTGAAATTGCCAGTGATTGATTCTCGATTACAGCCCATTTGGAGATGAGAATTTCGCAATTTCTGCTGTATTACTGGCATTGGTGCTGAAAGCTACGTTTTCTCATTTGAAATAATTTAATTTTAGACTGGAGAGTTCAATCTGAAATACCATGCAGTATATTTCATAAAGATTTCATTGATTTGGATTGTGTGAATTCCAAGTTGCACGTTTATCCATGGTACAGATTGCATTTGTTAAGCTTTGGGAAGCTGTGCACTTGCTGCAATAGCTTGAGTAGTAATGCACACATTTGAGCATTCAATTTGTCATCATTTGGAGCATTCTTTTCAAACCATTTGAACAGTAGTGATCAATCCATACATTGTTGAAAGAACAATCATTGGAAGTCATACTTTCCCTTACATGATCATGTCATCACAAGTAATCAACTGGCCTTGATATGCTTTAAGACATCTGGATGTTGTTGAAGGTGTGTTATCAATGCAAATAATAAGAAAATTGTGTTTCTGTTTAAGTTTCCTGAAGTTCATAAATTATTCTGTGGTGTACTTAGGCCAGAGCTGGTTTGTTCATAATACCCTGCATGTGTTTTTTGTGCATTATAGCAGTTAATAATTGTGTTAAGTGCTTAGTATCTTAAAAAACACTTATGCAAATGAAATGTGAGTACTGTGGTTATATTTGGTTTATGCAAGCATTCCCCTTCCAGTAAGCAAATTGCTTTATACTTAGAGATCCCATTGTTCATTGCATAGTTATATCTCTTCCTCAATTCATTATGGTATAGCTCAGAAAGTAAGTGGACAGTTACGCATGTGGTATCTGTTTTTGAAAGGGCTTCCCAATTTATCTCCTTTGGCCTTTCTTCCCCCACTCCCTTTTATGATTTTAAAAGTTCCACAGTTTCATCTCTGTCTTCTCTGTTTATCAACCTAGCTGTCTGGGAGCAGATTTCCCTCATTTGTTCCCTTGACCTGCTTGTACTTTGAACATCTGTATTAGACTTCCCCTAGACATTCTTTGCTTTAAGAAGACAATCCTAATTTTTTTGAGGCTGTCCACATAATTGAAGTCCCTCATTCCTGATACTATTCTTGTAAATCTCTGCATCCTTTCAAAGACCTTGGCATTCTTCCCTGAAATGTGGAACCTAACATTAGATACACAACTCTAGCTGAGGGATGGTCACCGTTATTTTTAAAGATTTCAGTATATCATCTTTGTTATTGTACAACTTAAAAATAAGGAACCCCAAAACACCAGCTTATCATGCCAACTTTGAGACTTCTCTTCCTGCATTCTGTTCCAGGTTGTATCATTTATTGTCTCATTCTTTTTCCTCAAAATGAACGCCTTGTATCTTTAAATTTTGCAAAAAAATCAGAGCAAACGTTTCGGGTCTAGTGACTCTTCCTCAGAACATCTGTTTTTGTTCCTGATTTATAGCACCTGCAGTTCTTTCAGTTTTTACTTAAATTTTGCAAGCTGTTTTGTATGCCCATTTACTAGTCATTGTCCCCCTGAAGTTGATGACACTTCTCTTTGCTGTTTATTATTTCCAAATTAGTCAAAATTTGGAGACTTTGAAATCCTCTCCACAGACACCCCACCCCCCTCCCCCACACGCACGCACACGCACACGCAGTGCAGGCCATGCATATATATCCAGAGGAACAATAATTTAGTAATGATGATTGAAGGGGCCCCATTGTATGCTTCCTTCCAACCTGAACATGCAACTTTGCTTTCTATCTTTGAGCCAGATTATGCTCATTCTGGTAATATCCCTTGCAACCTCAAGGGCTTAACTTCTGCTTGCAAGGTAGTTTGTAGCATTACATTTAACTTGTTTTGGAAGTTCATGACATTAGCTCCTGTACCTTCACCAATTCTCTCCATATTGCATTGAAAAATTTGGTCATGTCTTTAAGCCAGCATGGTCTTTTACAAATCTGTGCTGGCTGAGATTAATTATTACATATTTTTCCTTGTGGAAATTATTTTCCCAACAACTGCTATTAGGTTGACTGTCTTGCAATTGCTGGTTTCATCTTTTTATGAGTACATACATAACCTTTACAGCCTTTCAGGCATTTGGCACCATTTCCATATCCAGGGATGAGTGAGAGAGAGCCAGAATAACTTCTGTTTTCACTACTTTTTGCAGTAATGTGTGTCTTGTCTGTTTCGGGCGGTGTTTTCAGTTTCAGTTGATAGTGTTTTAAGAACCTCTTTTTCTGTTTTTAATCTGTTTTGTATAATTTGTTCTACCCATCTTTTACTATGCTGGTGTTATTCTCATTTGAGGAGGAGATTGGCTTCACAAATAGTTGCAGAGTACTCATTCAGTACTTTTAGTCATGGTTTCTACCTGTGGAAGGTGATTTCCTTTTGGATCCTAAATGGCTCCACCTTTACTTTTGACTGTCCTTGTTGACCTGCCTTGTATTATTCACCGACACATGAGCATTTTCAAAACAACAGTTGAGCAACACAGTTTGCAAGGGATTTAGTAGCTGTAAGGAATGCATTTGTTTTATTTTAAGATTTGTATAGCCTTTACATTTGCATTCATTTGAGGGGGTAAAAAAGCTCTTTGAAACAGAGGCATTCATTCTGAAATATTCTTGTTTCAATTTGGAATTATAGTATTTGAGATGGAATTAAAATCCTGCTGTCTGGGGTCTTTAACTTGTGTACATTGAGTATTAGCATTTGTTGTGAATTTGTAATCGATTGCTTCTGCTTGTCACTGTGTGAGTGATCGCAGGGGTTAATGAGATTTATTTTACATTATTACTGTAAGGGTTAATAACTGCTCTGGATGCATCTTTGCTGAAATAACTGTACTGGAAGATTTTCCTCTGTTCCAAGTACCAGCATCAAGCACCATCAGGTCGGGCATTGTTCCAGTTGAATTTTTAACAGTGAGCCCACTCACTACAAATTTGATCAGGTGCCTGACTTCCAAGATCAGAGGACCCCTACTGAACCAGCGTGACATTTCCATTTCCTGCACTAGCCATCTCTGTTTCTGAGTGGTGAATTGTGGGCAGTTTTTGCATTATGGACTTTAGTCCACTGGGAAATGCCCAAACCCATTTCACTTACCACCTTTTAAGGATAGATGAAACTTCTATCTTGTTTATCTGGGTTGGGTTTAAATCTGGTCCCAGAGGTGAAGGATCAGTGTTCTATTCTGAACCACTCCAAATCCCTGCGTTTACAGAGCATTTAGCAATAAAGCCTTGTGACAACCTAATATGCAGAGGAAAAAAAATGGTCTTAAATAGTATTTTTTTTCATTCCAGCGATAATTAGAAATGGCTACTGAGGTGAATGGAAATGCAGCGCAGGTGAAGGAGGAGGAAGAACCCATGGATACCTCATCTGCTGTCACCCATTCAGAACACTACCAGGTGCTAATAGATGCTGGCTTGCCACAGAAAGTAGCAGAAAGGCTAGATGATATCTTTCAAACAGGTATAATATGCCCTGACCTGTGGTTTTAGTAGTCCAAAGTATTGCTTTAACCTGAAAATGATATGTAACTGGGAAACTCCTGACTTGCTGTTAACAAATTTGAGGTGGATTTGACACTTGATGCATTTGTTGAAATCAAAAGAGACTGCTGTGTGTAATTTCTGTCAGCATTTGTATTGGTATTAGTGGTGCACAATTTTGTGATTTGTTTATGTAAGACTCAAAATTCAAGTAGTAAAGCCACTAGAGAGCAGAAGCAATGGCCGATGATATTCACTGTCCATAGAATTAAATGCATGAAACAAGCTTGCTGTTGCTTCCTAGGTTTTTGAAAGGTGTACACACATAGCAAATGAAAAATGTGGGCACTTAGTTTGAACAGTTTTATTGTCTGCGCTTCTGTGTTAATTATAAAATGCTTTACAGTTTAGTATATTTCCCAAATTTAAGTCCTACCTAAATTGCCAGTGTCTTAATTTACTGCAAAGAGAACCATGAAAGGGAGTTGTGCAGCATGTTTTAGTGCCTGTTACGGATCTGCTTCCAGATGCACAGTACTTTTTAAATTTGAACTGGCATTATATCAAATGCCCGGAGGATTTAATCTATTGTATATCCTCCTAATTTCATCATTTTTCCCCCCAGAGGTGGAGCTAAATCGATTGTTATTATTTATTTAATCATAAAGCATGCTGTGATATAAAGAAAAAAATTAAAGCCTCTTTAGAATGTGTTGGTCATGAACCTGTGCTTGCGGGTTAGGAGTATCTAATAACTCAGATGTGAATGCAATGTTGTAAACAGAATGCTTTAAAACTTTGAGTGACTCAGACCTCTGCAGCTTTTTGCCTTCCATTTTAAAAATTCAAAGAAAATTGCTAATAAATTATGTTGCCATAGTTGATTAGTGCTGCAAGAGCTGTCCATATTAACTTGTTGTATGGTTTGAGTTTCTAGCTCTCTTTCCTGCTTAATGTTAGAAGTTTGAGGCATATCTAAGTGCAATCAAATACTGTTTTTAGATGATTAACTGCAGTGATCTCGGGGATTGAATTGAGCGTGTAAGATGGCTTCCATCTCTTGGATGCAGCGGAATGTGTAGCCGCTAAAGTATGAGCTGTTCATGAGGTTTACATTGTTTATAAAATGAGTTTTTGCGTACATGATTGTAGGTAAAATTGTCTGATTATATTTGTGTCTTGTTTCATTCCTCATGCCCTGGAAGGTATTTCTATGTTTTCATAGCTTTGTTCTTTAAAATACACAAATGTCTAAGCATAAGAAGCTTGTTATTACACAAAAAAGTGTCTTGGAACTAGATACTTATAGCTGGAAATGGTGATAAAACACTCCCAAAGAATATCCACACTTTTTTTGAAGATTTGGGTAAGGCACAAATAATTGATGCCATTATCTTTCACTTTTATCCCTCTAACTTGTAGCTAGATGCATAAGTTTTGGAAATAGATTTGAAATTGGTGCATTTTCATATGAATATGTATACATTTAATATTTGCTTATCACCTCTCATTTTAAGATTTAAATTTTGTTTGCAGGATTGGTATCTTATGCTGATCTTGATGAGAGAGCCATTGATGCGCTCAGGGAGTTCAATGAGGAAGGAGCACTGTCTGTATTGCAGCAGTTTAAGGAAAGTGACCTATCTCACGTGCAGGTAACTAACTGGTAGTACACTTTTTAACTTCTGATCTGTTGTGGTGTACAGAAACAATTTTTATTTTTTGACATCTGAGAAATTAAGAGGAGAATTAATTTTGATTTTCCTCTAATTTCATATAGTTGAAGGGATGATACAAAATCTCAAGGAGAAGCCGTCAAAACGTTTTAAAGGAATGGATACTGTAGAGGGCAAAGGGCAGAAATCAGACAAAGGAGTACAGTTTATGATTTATGATGTCATGAAACAAAATCTTCTGTGTTTGACCTAAATTGCAAATCATGCATTCATCCACTATTAGAATTTCATTTCATTGATATTAATCTTTCCTTTCAGAATAAAAGTGCCTTTCTGTGTGGAGTAATGAAGACCTACAGGCAGCGGGAAAAGCAAGGTAGCAAAGTACAAGATGCCACAAAGGGCCCAGATGAGTCAAAAATTAAGGTATTGGCTGTTCGTGAAAATGCTTGTCAAATTTAGCTGCGGTAATCTACCAGCTAGCTTTCTGCTAGCTTTGGCAGGAATAGCTAGATATGCAACACTGCAATTCTGAACAAAGTCTGCAAAAAATTCTGTTTGATTCAATCAAAGTTTCGAGTATCATGATGAAAGACTTTGTAGACTTGGAGGATGAGCAAGCTGGGGGAGGATAGTTAGGAATAGAATTTGAGTGCATGAGGCAAAATATTTGGTTCTGAGATCTTTTTAATTAGGTTTACTGCTTCAAATTTGAGAATGTAGATAAAAGGTCAATGTCCATTGAGGTTACTAAGGTTATCGAAAAGTTGGGGGACGATTAAGGTTTCCTTGGGATAATGTAAACCTGCCTAGATTCAGGAGACAAGCCTCTCTGCTCCTATGTTGCTGCTTGGCCTGCTGTGTTCATCCAGCCCTGCACCTTGTTGTCTCGGACTCTCCAGCATCTGCAGTTCCTACTATCTCTGAAACAAAAACACCCTGGACGTTTGGGATAAATCAAACCTGTTTATGATTTTTTTTTAAAAATGCAAATGGTAGTAATTACTCAGTTGGTTTGACTACAACTGTGTTAATTTGCAATTAATGTGTATTTACAATTTTTACCTGTGAAAGAATCTTGGTGCTAACCATAGTTGTTTAATATATGGTGGTATTAAATTCATGGTGAATTGTTAATGATTACTTAGGCACTTTTGGAACGGACTGGCTACACTTTGGATGTAACTACAGGGCAAAGGAAGTATGGTGGTCCTCCCCCTGAAAGTGTGCATTCAGGTCCACAACCTGGAATCGGAACAGAGGTCAGTGTCCAGTAATGAGGAATCAGCCTTATAAACTCTTGAACTGATTCAGTGATTTTTTTTTTTTCAGGACGTGTTGCAATGTAGAAGGTAAGGGTTTCCATCTTGTAATCGACCTGTTGCTGAAGGGAACTGGGTATTCCTCTTTCCAATATTCTTTATAAAACAAAAGTATGCAAAAAATTCATGGAAGTGAATCAGTGCATAATGCTTTGAAGGGATAGAATTAGTGCATCCAACAAGTAACTTAATTTCCCAATTCCTTCACGCTACTTTTTTCATGCCAGCAGTAAGTTAACTTTGCAAAATTGTATTTAATTTTAAACCTAAACAAATCATCACTTTAATTTTAACTAGTGGATAGTTTGAATGTTTGAGTGAAGAAGAACATTTGAATTAACACGAGTAAACTGTGCTATGTGATCAGTTTGTAGTTAGTTTCATCAACCTGATCAGATATGTTATGATACAACAACTCAGATAGGACTAGAATGCAGAGGGAGGGACATTACGACTGTGCCACAAGAGCCTGTGCACAAAACATCAGCCTGGGACTGTGGATTACCAGTTCATTGACATTACCACTACACCACCTCCCCAAACAATAGCCTGGAACAGTTTGTATACTTTGAAATGTAGATGAGGGAAGCATATTGGTCAGGGTGCTGACAAATGGCTTTCAGTTTAACGTTGCATGAAGGATGTAATGTCTGAATTTTAGCTTTGATTTTGTGTCATTTGAGAGTTTGTGCTCTGAGAATTTAACTCTGGGATTTGAACAAGTATTGCTACTTGATTCAGTCAGGTGAAAATGTACTTAAATTACCTGATAATCTATGTGGCCACAAGCCATGACTATTTGATAGACTTACGAGGGTTGCTTTCACCTATGGTGCTGCATATCAGCATAGGAATCCTAAGAAATAAGTGCTCTGCCATTCAATAAAATCATGGCTTATCTGAATGTGGTCTTAACTCCTACTTTCTGCCTGTTACCCATAACGCCTAACTCTTGTTGTTTGGCGATCTGTCTGATTTGGCCTTGAGTATATGACCAATTTCCACTGCTCCCTGGAAGATAAGTCCAAGGACTAATAACCCTCTCAAGAAATTTCACCTCATCTCTTAAAGGAGCATCCCTTATTTTAAACTTGTCTCCTGACACATACATTTTTTGACAATGGAAACACATCTGAAGGCCTATAAAGTGTTAATAAGAAATAACCCAAGGCTCACTTAAAGGGTAAGATTCAAATTATTCTTTAAAGTAATTTAAAAAATGGGAAAAACTTAGCTGTCTTGTAAACAACTTTGAAATAGCAGTTAACCTTGTTCAAATCAGTGTTGATAGAAGGGTCGTAAACTGAATTGGAAGACAGTGAATTTGGCTTTTAATGAAAACGCTTCATTACTTAGATGTATAAAACTATCTGAAGCGTTGACTGTTCTATGGTCTCCCAGTCCAAGTCGACATGCATGACTGTCTTTGTCATCTGAATAACCCCTACATAAATCAAAGCCGAGAGGTATAAAGGTAGATGAATAATATGAGGTGACACAACTTATGAATATATATGCTTGACTGCTTACACCAAACCTTGGCTAATGTACAATAAGTTTTAGTAACTTTTGCCTTGTTGTCCTAACTCAAATTTTGATTCCACATCCAAAGCAGTTAATATGGTAAACATAAAAAAAATTGTCAACTTGTTAGCTGATCTGTAGGATTGAAGCACACCTGAGGTGACTGATCCAGAAAACAGCTTTTATTGTATTGGTCAAGTACTATGCTGGAGATATGTAAATCTGATCTACATATAATTTTACAGTAGAAAGATGGACTCAACTAGTCTGTTCCTGAGTTGAAAACGCACACCAGTTTCCTTCCACATTGTTTCATGTTATCTTGTCAGCATTGCTTTCTATTTCTTCCTTTCTTGAATACTGGCATAGCTTCACCTTCACAACGTCAGTGCAAGAATAGAAATGATAGGATAGGCAAATTATAAGTGATTGTACAAATCCAATGTTATCTTTTACTTTATTCATCGGTTAAAGGCGTATGGTCATTAAAACGAGACAACAAGGTGCAGAGCTGGAAGAACACAGCAGGCC